TTCAAGACACATGCGAGACAGGCAGCTACTTCTTGAGGCAAGGCATCAGCAAGTCAAGCAGCAACATGAACGAGTTTACGGAACACAATCACAGAAACCACAGTCTGAAACACGGCACTTCGATGATTTGCCTTATTATAGTGTCCAAGCATCTGCTTCCAATTAGTATTATTAACAGTGTCGATATGCAGTATTCCTCATTTGAGTTCATTTAAGAAACGCTTTTTAAAAAGCTAGATTAGTAAGACACAGGAATCATAGTTAATACAACTCAATGGAATCTGTAACTTTAAAACTGTGTTCTTAGAACAAATTCGAGAATATTTCCCAAAACTGAAGGAATGAGTTTACAGCCTGGAAGCCCTATGTTCTTCCCATGGCTATGGATGAAAACAGACCCAAACCATGGCACAACATCATGAAATTTCAAAGTGAACGCATAGGCCACAGACAAGGTCTCAAACACCTTCATCCCAGGCCCCCTTATCAGGGAGCTCCTGAGGCAAGCAAGAGGTAATACAAAGAGAAGGAAGATCCACGAAGCAGACGATCCACCAGCCAAAGAGAACAAAGGGACCTGCAGGGAGAGGAGGAAGCCTGATGGGGGGAGAGAGCAGGCCCAGCAGCACTGAGGCGGTGGCAGAGGTGTCTCCAGGTGGAACTTGCAGCTGAAGGGATGCCTGGGCATGCAAACACTTTGGTAGGGAAGTTAGACAATGTATGCGGAGTCTGAGACACAATTAGAACACTCAGCAAATTAAGGGGCCCGGGACACACAACGACCAAAACAATCAGCTACAAGAAAACCAACAAGTTATGAGAAAAAGAGAGAGACCTCATCTTCCATGGTGGGAAGTCAACTGATGAGGCCCAGAACTACAAATTCAAGAAGTAGCAACACACATCATTTAGAGAAACGGGCAATAAATACCAAAAGTTATTGAAGGAACTGAAAGTGATTTGTCCAGGGACAGAAAATGGAAGGAAGACAGAGGAATATACAGAACTATAGGACTATAGTGAAATGCATTTCGTATATTCGAACGAAGTATACATCTGTAACTTTATTAAAACTGAAAACCTTCAAAATTTGGACTATTAATAAAAAGTACATCAATGTTAACTTTGCCTATAAATTCTACTTTATTATTAGTAACTGCAGCAACAGAAAGAACCAATTAATCACTTCTTTATGGATCAAAAAACTGACTAAACACAAAAGACGAAATAAAATAAATTCAAGACACATGCGAGACAGGCAGCTACTTCTCGAGGCCAGGCATCAGCAAGTCAAGCAGCAACACGAACGAGTTTACGGAACACAATCACAAACCACAGTCGGAAACATGGCACTTCAATGATTTGCCTTATTATAGTGTCCAAGCATCTGCTTCCAATTAGTATTATTAACAGTGTCGATATGCAGTATTCCTCATTTGAGTTCATTTAAGAAACGCTTTTTAAAAAGCTAGATTAGTAAGACACAGGAATCATAGTTAATACAACTCAATGGAATCTGTAACTTTAAAACTGTGTTCTTTCAGTTCACAAGGGAACGGTGGAATGGTCAAATCTTCCCTTTGCCACGTTTTTTGAAACTAGGAATAGTGCATTTTCAATGGGTTTGTATAAACAAGTCTTACATAAATGTGATTGTGCTTCAAAGCTGTACAACAGCTCAGGGTATAAGATATGCTAGAAGCTTTGTGCTAAGTAAGGCGAATAAAAGCATTAATACCTTCTTACAGAGAGCTCGCAGCTTGAAAGCAGAAAAATGAATGCAGAGTGTTCATAAACGATTTAAGGAAAAGCCATTACTGTTCCCCATCACTCCAAGTTTGCTTGCTTGAATCACTGTTACTCGTCTGGTACAGTTAATAGGCTTAACGCTCTTTTTATGTTTAAAAAAGGAAAACATTCCATTTTCCTGGAAGTCTGCAACAATGATAATATTCTTCACAAAACTGCCTCTCCCGTGAGCACGCTAATGAACTCTACAGGCAGGAGTTAGACATGAGCAAAGGAGCGTAAGAGTCAGAACATTTACCTTTTTGTTAAAGGCCCAAATTTTGTCCCATTCCATGTTCACAACTGAACGCGAGGAACCCTGGAAAAACAGTAATAAAATGACTTAAAGGACAAGAAGTAATGAAAACATTTCCTTTAACTGTAGCTGTGCATGTTAGAAAAAGTAAGCCCAGTAATTGCTTGCAAGTTTATTTCCGCTGGAATATAAACTTAATGATGTACAAGCTAATTTGGTTCCTTCGATAGGTAGAGTCAACCGTCACATACTGCACTGGGTAAAAATACTTCAGCTGCTAGTAATTGCTTGCAAGTTTATTTCCGCTGGAATACAAACTTATGATGTACAAGCTAATTTGGTTCCTTAAATAGGTAGAGTCAACAGTCACATACTGCACTGGGTAAAAATACTCCAGCTGCCTTTGTCCAACCCCAGCTTAGGAGGTAGGACATTCTCAGTTTTCTGTTCTCAGGGTATAAACAGTACTAAACATACTCTTTTTAAAAAAACATTCTGCCCTTGCATTATAAGGCACAAACAAAGAACAGAAAGAACAGAAATAATAAAGTCGAAGGAGGTATTAAGAGACACTTGAAAATTCCAGCAGAGAATCTGGGAAAGACACCATCACTCACCTGAGCAGCAATAAACTGCTTCAGGCCTTCAACGGTCATCCCTCTTCTCAGCACACCACGGACCGTGGGAAATCTGGGGTCATCCCTGGGAAACGGACATTTTTCAGTATTAATTAGATTTTTGAATGTGCAGATGCAGAGAGTACAAAATACCTTAACGAGTAATATTATATGCAGCTTGTTAAATATTTGGACTGAGAGGTGGTTGTAATAACTGGGTAGATCACAACCCAGAGCCCAAGAGCATGGAAGAGGAAAGCTGCTCACCAGTCAGCTACTGGAAACAGTACATTTGAAGAAAGACACAGGTGACACCTTCAGATACAGAAAACCCAGGCAATTAAACAGTAGGTGCTTTTTGATTCACAAACATTCAAGGTCCCTGCTGTACATATGACCAGGAGACCAGGTCTCTGAAGGACCAGACTCACAAGTACTTTGCTATGAAACGCTGAGGATGTACCCCCATGTGCAGGGGATGTACCCCCATGTGCAGGGGATGTACCCCCATGTGCAGGGGATGTACCCCCATGTGCAGGGGATGTACCCCCATGTGCAGGGGATGTACCCCCATGTGCAGGGGATGTACCCCCATGTGCAGGGGATGTACCCCCATGTGCAGGGGATGTACCCCCATGTGCAGGGGATGTACCCCCATGTGCAGGGGATGTACCCCCATGTGCAGGGGATGTACCCCCATGTGCTTTTCATTCCCACGCACCATGGCCCACAATGTGCTCTATGTTTGCAGCATTAAAACAAAGGGGAAGGGGGACCTGATGCACCAGAGCAAACAGAGACAAGGACAGAAACCCCCCAGGCCTAGCATTCCACCTCCTCCCATCCCTCCCAGCCTCCCAGCAGTTAAAGTTGGTGAGCTCCCATGCCCTTGCTCCCCTCCATTCAACAGTAAACATACCATCCGTCCACCAGTCCTTCGTCTACAAACCACGTGAGTTTTCTCTTGGACAGCACTGTGTTGTTGAGGTTTAGCCGACTATATTCCCAAATGTATGGCTTTCTGATGCCTAAAGCTTCAATAATCCAATAAAACTGCTCATCTCGGTCATGGTATTCTGTTGTCCTCAGGGCATGTGTAACCCCTTCAATGCTGTCCACTATCGGGCAGGCAAAGTCGTATGTTGGGTAAACACTAGGGAAAAAGGGAATATTTAACACATCAACAAGAAGCATTTTAGCCTTTCTATCTTAGATCAGGCATTATAAGCAGCAATACTAATTTAAAACATAGTCTTTACAAGTTAGGAAATTCTTAAAACCCAACATGTTTTATGACCTTTAATAATCAAAATTTATCAAAACATTATCAGGTTTTGAGAATAATGAACTGGTTACCCACTCTATATTCAAACAAAAAAGCAAATTTGCAATTTAATAGACAATCGGGTATTGGCACAGCCAACTGTACAACCATATTTCTGTAATGACCAATGTACATCATGGTAGGAAGCAAGATACAATCATTTGGAGGGAATTTAGCTTTTCAATATCTTATTAATCTCACACTCAAGTAAACTAAATTGCTTTTGTAATAACTGCATTCAAGAAGAGATAAGAGGGGGAAAAAATAGGAAAATTAAAATTCCATTTAAGATCGAATACACCTAAAATAAGTTTCTGCCTAAAAAGATGTACACAGCACATAAGCAGTTTCAATTTAAATTTTGAAAAACGTATTAATGCTCCTGGATTAGGCTTCGCTATTATTTGATACTGAAAATGTGGATGCAAATTCACTTTTCCAAATGTATCCAAAACATGTGCTTAGTAAAACAAGGACCCACCCATCAAGACCGCCCAAGTTTACTTAAAGTCACACAAACTAACCAGGGAATCATTATATTCACCAATCTCTTCAAGTTAAAAGTCAGTATGAGTATGTAATAGGCTTCTTCAAAGTGTAAGAAAACATATTGTATGATTACTTTATGAAGTAAACTCATGAAGGAGGAACCTCTTAAAGAAAAAATTCTATTAACTTGGAAACCCACACAGAAAACTAATAGAAACTAAAAACACATGATACTTTCTTTTACTGTTCCTATTTCTGTAAATTTTCAATTCTGTCACATTCATGAATGAATTTTTGCCTAGCAGAATCAAAGTTTAAACTAAGACAAGTATCTTCATTTAAAGATAAATAAAAAATAGATACCACATTGTATCTAATCAACACATTATAAAGCAACTGCAGGCAGCCTGGAGGACTTCTACAGATACAAGGCATCTTAGCAATGATGTGGAGCCGTAACTGGTAAGTGTTCGCCCGACAGGCTGCCTGCTTTACACAGGCCCAGTTCATCCACGATGAACAAAGACCAAGAGTCATCACTATTCCATCCTGCACCGACTCCGAGTTTCCAGGGAGCATTGGAGCAGAGCCTGGCAGGCGATCACCTTACTTGTATCGATTTCCAGTCCTCGGGTGAGGTTGAATTTTGCAGCGGTACAGTGTCGGGTCCCTCATGCACCCGTTGTTACTGTTCATGTCAATTTTTGCTCTCAAACAACAGGACTGACCAAACGGGCTCCCTTTTTTCATTTCTTCCCACATTTGCAGATTCTTCTCAACAGCTATAAAATGAGAGTTGTATTATTTGATCTGGCATATTACTCATTGAGTTGAATTCACATTTAAGAGTCCTGTAATTTTATATAAGTGTCCATGCTCTGGTTTTATATTATCAGCAGTTTAAAAGTACGATAATAGTTCCAATATCTGGTGCCAAGAGTAAATGCACTGGTTTTTTTAATGCAGAAGTTTCAAAAGACACTTAGAAAATGCCCTCTATACACATCTTCTAGAAGAAGTCAATACATTCTACGCGTAGCACTGATGAAGGCTAAGACAAGAAGCATGAGGCCTGGAGGTTTCTCTCCGCATTTCCCATTTTCCATCATGACCCAACGGGCCGGCCTCCCTCCAATGAACCCCGTGCCTTTGAAGTGGAAGCACCCTGTTCCTCTGCCACCTATTGCCCAGGGGCAGCCCGGTCTGGCCCGGTCCATGCGGCCTGAGAGCCTGAGCCTGGGGACTCCTTGAAAGCCCCCGTCACTCCAGTGGGAAGAAGGACGCCCTTGGGTCCGAGAAAATGAGAGGACAGAAAACAGACAGTGATACAAGTTTAATCCTGGAAAAGGAATGCTACATCCCAAGTGACTATGGTCTTACCTATGTCAGAATATCGAAACCTTTTGGATAAAAAGACCCGTTAAACAATGATTCTCTGTGGGAACTACTGAAATACGGTGGACACATGACCTGCTCCCAAAGGAGCAAGTTAAGTCTAAAAGTCCAGTTGGTGACTTAAAAAGAAAAAAGACTTCTGTAACTACTTGACAAAAGGCCTCTATAACTATTTGACTTTACTTCCCAAATGTGACATTCAAGATTTAACTGTAATAGTGTGGAAGTTCCGGCAACATAATTATAGAATGAATATAGGCCAATTCCGAAGCCGAAGGACAAGTAATAAGAAAGACGTGCGTTTCTGTCAAGTGCTATTTCAAAGATTTAGGGCAACACCAAGATTACAGATTATGTTCACATTTACCCACATGCTGAAAGGAAGGTTTAAAGCATGAATAATATTATCCCCAAACACTACAAAGGCTAAGCATTTCAACTGAGAAAAATACAGAAATGCCACAGAAGGAATCACTCCAATAGAATGAAGTGCACAAGGCTGCACGTAGTACGTGAGATGCAAAGGGCACGCGTACCTAACGCGCAGGTGTGAGGCTCCCAAAATAACAAGAGAAAGATGACAGAGAAAGAAAAAAGACTGGTGAGAGATGAACTAATGCATGAATCATGTTCCCAAATGTGTTTAAACCAGCGTCTTTCACAGAAAAGAAACCACGTTCTACTCAAGGCGCAAAGCACAAGAACATCAATAAGACATCAAACGCTGACTGCCTTACAGTTGTTTCTGTGTTTGGATTCTGTCCGCTGCTCTCGCTCGGCTTTCATCCGCTCGGCAGGAGTATCATCCACATACGCCTTCCCTTCCTGAATTAGCTTCTCGGCGTATTTCATTATAGTTTCAAAATGGTCCGAGGTGTACGTAAACTGGTCTGGTTCGATATGCAACATGGCAACATCTTCTAGGATAACCTGCAACAGGAACCCCAAGTCACCCTCAGTTTCTCTTGCACATTTCCTTGTGCACTTTCATTCCTTGACACTGCATTTGGGCAAAATGTAATAACACACCGTCAGTCTTATTTAGCCTGGAAATGGTTGTGCAAGTTGTATTAATTAGATCAGAAAAGAAAGAGAGACTCGCTCTACTAGCTTCTGAATGGTCGGCTGAGAAAGTGGTCTCCTGAGGGAGCTTTCCATTTACTCTGGAAAAGCTGGTTACTATTGGCCGTTCTGACAATGACTTGCCCTCTCTGCACACCTTGCAGTGCTTCTGGGTAAAGATGACATGAGAGGCGAGGAGACCTTCCCATTCCCCAATACGTGGTCGGTGTGTGTTTCAGCCATAAACTTAAAATTATATGACAGAAAGGAAACCTGCCTCTAGTTGCCCATTCACTTAAGAAACTGGTATTTACGGGAAAATGGAGTATTTAGGTAATTCTACAAAAATCGAGGAAGAACAAACAAATTGAAGGTTTTGGTATGGGAGCTCAGTATTTATTGGCTTAGGTCTGACACACAGAATACACAGATGAAGGGAAAAAGCGTCTATGAGAACAAACTTATTTAGTGTCATGAATTAAGTTTCTATTTAACTCACATACCATGAAGGTATCAGGTCACCGTCTAATTTGAAATAACTTTTCTGACAAAGGGTTATCACTACACCTTTAATTACCTTCTCAAAATCTTCCTTTTCTTTTTCAGGATTTGTGTCATCGAATCTCATGATCAGTTTCCCTTTAAAGTTAACCTGGTAGTGCTGGTTGAGAAGAGCAGCTTTGGCATGCCCAATGTGTAAGTAACTAAAACAAAAACATTTCACAGAGACACTCATTAACACGTCGTGACTGAAGAGTTACACTTAACCTTTCTGAGGAGATGAGAACTAAACAAAACTGCTTCTAGTTGGAAAGTACTGGGATAGAAAATCTGAGCCTGGCAGGAAGAAAGACAGACTACCACACTTATCTTAAGAAATAATCTCATATGCAAAATCTCACCAAGTTATTTACAAAAGGACTTTCACTAAGGGTCTCATCCAGGACTAAGGTCTCACTCTGTAAACCACAGTCTATGCAAACACTACTGCTCCTAAGGGCAGCTGATAATTATAAGATATAAAATGAATCAGAGGCAATGCTGATAATAGTACACACATCAACATCCTCCTCTATCAATGAAGTGGGTGAAAAGAAATGCCTACACGGTTGCTGGTAAAAACATAATTTATCTGCCAGCAAACAGGGCATGAAGCATGAAGTTTAATCAGCTCTCACTACTTTTTACTAGTTTCAATTGATAAAGATAGCTGCCTTCACACTGCTCTACGGTCACCTCATGTCACACACACCTCTGATCTTAGTTAAAGGGCTGTAAGCGGGCCCAGATGATATTCTAGAACAGAAAAAGAACATTAGGAAAAAACTGATAAAATTAAAAAAAGATATGGAGTTTAGATGATAATAATATATGAATACTGGCTCATTAGTTGTGGCAAAGGTACCATAGTAATGAAAGACATTAACATTAGGCGAAAACTAGGTGCAGGGTATATGGGAACTTTTTACTTTTTTAGCAACGTTCCTGTAAATTTAGAACTATTCTAAAATAAAAAGTTCATTAAAAATAAAATAGAGAACTGCATTTCAAGAAACAAACAGAAATACTGAAAGCATTAAACCCATGTTACCCCCCATTGTTAAGGAAAAAAAGATTAATAATCACTGACTGCCTGCTATCTGGCAGTTAATATGTTAGGCATTACACACAGGGATTAATTTAGGAGAAGTGATAAAATCAAACCATTATCTTAAACTTGAAGGTATTTCTGACTCTGAAATAATGTGTGCAGTTCTAATAATTCAAACCTCAAGAAAGCTAACAGGACTGTAAAACATTCATTCCCAAGAGACAACCTGTATTAGCACAGCTGAAGAAAATACAACTCATGCTGTGTTAGTACCGATGCTGGACTGGGATCCTGCCACACGCGACAGACACGGGCATATAATTTTAAGTCATACGGACTCTAGAGTCAGACAGTGTGGGTTTGAGCTGGCAATTTACTAACCGTCGTATGAATCAGCTTCGGAAAGCATTTGTAAAATGGAGATACTAGCAGTGCCTTTCTCACAGGCTTATCAGGATTAAATAAGTTACTGTATGTAAGGTCCTCGGTAGCATTTGCACAAAATAGTTATATATCATGTTAGCTAATAAGAATAAAGGGTGAGTCAAGCCTTCTGGCCTTTCATGCAAGACCAAAAGTGATTAAAAAATAATTAGCCCTGCCCTCACCGGTTTGGCTCAGCGGATAGGTTTGGCTCAGCGGATAGAACGTCAGCCTGCGGACTCAAGGGTCCCAGGTTCGATTCTAGTCAAGGTCATGTACCTTGGCTGCGGGCACATCCCCAGTAGGGGGCGTGCCAGAGGCAGCTGATCAATGTTTCCCTCTCATCGATGTTTCTAACTATCCCTCTCCCCTCCTCTCTGTAAAAAATCAATAAAGTATATTTTAAAAAATAATAATAATAATTAGCCCTAACTGGTTTGGCTCAGTGGATAGAGCGTCGGCCTGCGGACTGAAGGGTCCCAGGTTCGATACTAGTCCAGGGCATGTACCTTGGTTGAGGGCACATCCCCAGTAGGGGGTGTGCAGGAGGAAGCTGATCAATGTTTCTCTCTCATCAATGTTTCTGACTCTCTATCCCTCACCCTTCCTCTCTGTAAAAAAATCAATAAAATATATTTTTTAAAAAATAATTATTATTATTCTTCAGCAATATAAGAAAATATGATAAAAAATATGGAAAACCTAAACATTGATTTATATTCCCAAATCCCAAAACTGTATTCAGATAAGACCATGCTCTTAGACATGGTCTGTATGACACTGACATACTTTAGAACAAATGGGGAATTCGTTACTCCAAGTGATAGAAAATATAAAGATTCAAAAAGGACAACTGTTCAAATGGCATCGCTATAAACAACTACTCCTAAGAAAGTGGGTTTTATCAAATCACCGAAGTCACTACCCAACAGGACAGCCATGACCTCTCACCCCAGGGACACAAGAGCAGAAAACGGGGCAGACTCCGTGGGAATTAAACCATGCAAGACAGGTATTATTGGTGACCGATTCCACCCAGTCGACCAATCAATCATTTAATGATTTAGTCTGTGAATTTTCCAGAATCATTATTTCTCTTTCATCTCTTCTACCCATTCATTATTTCACCATCTAAATCAGCAAACTTAGAAAACAGACAGAAAACGGGGAATGCTAACACTGGCTTTGCTATTAATGGCGCTTATGAAATAGTTTGTGAAGAACTATCAAGAATGGATGGCTAACCCTAACCGGTTTGGCTCAGTGGATAGAGCGTCGGCCTGCGGACTCAAGGGTCCCAGGTTCGATTCCGATCAAGGGCATGTACCTTGGTTGCGGGCACATCCCCAGTGGGGGGCGTGCAGGAGGCAGCTGATCGATGTTTCTCTCTCATCCCATGTTTCTCTCTCTGTAAAAAATCAATAAATTTTTTTTAAAAGGGGAAAAAAAAGAATGGATGGCTAAAAAGCTGTGTATCTGCCACGTTTCTAAGTCTCTATCCCTCTCCCTTCCTCTGTCAAAATTGAATAAAATATATTTTTAAAAAAAGAATGGATGGCTAAAAAGCCGTGTATCTGCCAATTTCTATTGTCTACACATTCCATTCGCCACAGATGGGGAAGAATTTGGCTACACAATACAAAACCTGAAATTAAATAAAATTCTTTGGAGGAGCCTGACCGGTTTGGCTCAGTGGATAGAGCGTCAGCATGCGGACTGAAGGGTCCCAGGTTTGGCTCCGGTCAAGGGCCTGTACCTTGGTTGCGGGCACATCCCCACGGGGAGTGTGCAGGAGGCAGCTGATCGATGTTTCTCTCTCATCGATGTTTCTAACTGTCTATCTCTCTCCTTTCCTCTCTGTGAAAAATCAATAAAATATATTTGAAAAAAAAAAATCTTTGGGGGAAAATAATCATCTCATTTATAAAATGTGTATAATACCTTCCCAACGGCTAAGCTCCGTGGCTACTGCTTTAACAAGAGGCACTGAATCATATTAGCATCCGTGAAGGGCTCTGTTATAAAGCCTGTCTCCTGTGCTCCAAGAGGCTGACAGGTGTGCGAAAGCCGAGACTCCCCCAGTCCTGGGGATGCTGGGCACGGCCTGAAGCAGCCCCAGGCTACTGACCTGCAGCCACAAGTCTTTTTCCTAATGAGCTAGCAACCTCTTATTATTGTCTGTGGGCTCCAAGAGTGAAAAGGGTGGGGAAACCCGTTAATAATTTTTAGGACCCCCCCTTCCTTTATTTGAGGCAAAAGTAACTGAAAATAATTCTACCATCACTTCTACTACTAATGACACAAATGTAAGTCCTTATTAAATGAAAACCTAAAAATCTCAAAATGTAAGTAAAACTGAAACCTTTCTACTTAATGGAGATTTTTCTATCATAATTATAATTCTGTCTGGGGTAAAGCACAAACACTGTTTCTCTCCTGGAATTAATAAACTAAAACTATAAATTTAATACATTAACTGTCAATAATTTTAAAAGGATTAAAATTTTAACTCCCACAATTAAAATCTTATTTTCTTCCATATTAACCTATTAATATTAAAAATATTTTAGAACTAGCTAAAGATTTTCCACTATTATAATTTTAAGTTTTATTTTCTTACCCACTAGCCTCTGGAGGAAATCTGACAGTAACCTTTCCCATCTCAGCACCTGGGAGCTCAACAAACTTCCCAACATCTGGCTTTTTCTGAGGTGCCTGAAAACAAACAACAAAATAGTTCCATGGTTAAATGTTTAGGAATATGTTAATTCAACACATACCCCCCAGAAATGACATGAAGACTCTGCAGAAGCCTAACACTCGATGGTCAGTGGTTCAAAAACCAAAGAGATCGAGATCTGGGAGGAAGAAAAGATGGTACACCTAAAAGTAACTTGGAGTTCGAAATTCCTGAGGGACACACACTAGATGATCATCATCGTTTAGACCTAGAATTATGCGGATGGTGGCTGTATGTAGTTAACCAGCTGCAGAGGCCAGCCAAGACTTACAATGGCAGGTTCGTCCAAGACCTTTTTTATTCAGGAAAAGAAAATGAACTATGACTAGGGAGAACATTCTTCTCAGATGTGGGGTCTCTGACAGACACAGACGTCAGCATTATACAGTGTAAACAGGCTTACCCCTTTAGCTTTGGCGGCTGAAACATTCCACTTGGTGCCCACTGACTGGAAGGCCTGCTGGGCTTCAAGAAAGCCAAACCAGCGCTTTACATGAACCGGAGCCGTGTTCTGCTGCAGCTGCTCCTGCCAGGCCGCATTTCCTGTTGGCAAACATAATTTTAACATCACTCAGTAAGCCTGCAACTTCAAAAGCAAAGCTCTAGTCGGGGTTAATTTAAGGAAAGAAAATGGCTCAGAGCTGTGCTTCTATAATGAATGAAATCAGGGTATACACTGAAATGTTTTCCAAAACTTAAATACACTTCACAGAATTCACAGAAGTTAATTAAAAATACTTTCTCAGGCCCTGAGCAGTTTGCTTGGTGATTAGAGCATCAGCCCATGGAATGAAGGGTCATGGGTCCTATTCTGGTCAAGGTCATGTACTGTCCATGTGGTTAGAGCATCAGCCCATGGAATGAAGGGTCAGGGGTTCGATTCTGGTCGTCATGTACTGTCCATGCGCATGCAGGAGGCAATCTGTCTGTCTGTCCCTCGCCCTTCCTCTCCCACCTTTCCTAACAGAAAAATGTTCTCTCTCTCTCCCCTCCCCATGCCCACACCTTTCCTAACAGAAAATATTTTTCAATTCAATTCACTGAAATAAATAGTAAACCGTGCCCTCACCACTGCCTCACGCCCACTGTAAGGCCATTGCTACATTTATAATTAAGGAAAAGCTTTAAGGAAGTCAACTAGAGATCAAAATAAAAAAAATTAAGATCAAGAAGCAGCTCATTCCTTCAGATATATTGAAAACAGATATTGAAGGAAATTTATTTAACTTTAACATCACAAAGTTATATCCTTAAGGTATATTTCTTTCATAAACATTAAGTAAAAAGTCAATATAGACAAAAATGTCATGACAAACCTATAGATGAAAAGGTCTAACTAGAAAAGGCCTTCAGTTAAATTGTTAAACAACAATTTAATTTGAAGCATTTAAGCCACAAAAAATGTATAGAAAATATTTTTAAAACCCCACATAACCCAAATTTAAAGAATAATAAAATATTATGGCATATTTCCTTCAGGCATGTTTTTACAGAAAGTAAATTAACAAAATTCAGGTCCCCTTTGTACCGCTCCTCAATCCTACATCCTTACCCGTTGCAAACTAGTCACAGAAAACGGAAGCCATGACCTCGGAGAGGGACAGCTCCAGCTCACCCCCTCACTCACACTCCTACTGAGCGATTAGACACCAGTGCCCGGAGCAAAGTAATGGCTGAGACAGGAGAGGTCTAACATCAGTGGGATGAGGGCATCTTTAGCAGGAACAAGGCCAACTCCAAAGCCAAGAGGGGATCTGAGGCAGTGAGAGAGATGACCCCCGGGGCACAGATAGGGAACCCTGTAACTGGGCAGGGATAAAACAGCTGGGCTGGTCATTTCTTTGTAAGTCCTAAGTATCTGCCCATAGACAGATAAAAGGATGTTTATTCAAACACAGAGAAGCACGTGTACTTCTTATCCAGCAAAACGTTAATTAAAACACAACATTCTTGACGGCGAATTACTGATACCTTTCAGGGTGGCCCACACACATAAGTCAGCTAAGCTCAAGGAGTTTCCAACCAAGTATGTCCTCAGAGACAGGCAATGGTTGAGCTCATTGATGGCAGAAGGAAACAAATTACATGAAGACAATTTTGTGGCACTAAACTCCAACCAGTGGTCAATCTGTGAACATAAAAGAAATGCATCCTGGAATTTAGATTTTAATAAAAACAAGCAAACAAACAAACAACCTCAATCAGAACCATGCCTTTCTTTTAAGTGACAGAATTTACCATTATGTGGATTTAATTCTAATTGCCTGGGATCTGAACTGGCGTTTACAAACACATTTTGTGAGGCACTAAACTCCAACCAGTGGTCAATCTGTGAAAGTAAAAGAAATGCATCCTGGAATTTAGGTTTTAATAAAAACAAGCAAATAAACAAACAAACCTCAGTCAGAACCATGCCTTTCTTTTAAGTGATAGAATTTACCATCATTATGTGAATTTAACTGTAATCGCCTGGGATCTAAACTGGCGTTTACAAGCACATTTTGTGGTTATTTTTCTGTGCTATTTTTTCTGCAGGACATTAAGGGGCACTTTCAGGGAAGAAAAAGAAAAAGACAGGAGAACTAGCAGCAGGAAAGAAGAACCAACTGATTGAACCCAATAGGTGGTAGCCAGATGAAACAGACTCATCCACTTGCAGGGTTTAAAAGTAAACACTTGGAGCCGAAACCGGTTTGGCTCAGTGGATAGAGCGTCGGCCTGCGGACTGAAGGGTCCCAGGTTCAATTCCGGTCAAGGGCATGTACCTGGGTTGTGGGCACATCCCCAGTAGGAGGTGTGCGGGAGGCAGCTGATCGATGTTCCTCTCTCATCGATGTTTCTAACTCTCTATCTCTCTCCCTTCCTCTCTGTAAAAAATCAATAAAATATATTTAAAAAAATAAATAAATAAAAGTAAACACTTGGAAACTATTCTTTGTATTCTGGATTTTATAAGATTGGAAAAGTTAGAGCTGAATACAAACAGAAAAAAAAGGCATTACTGTAATTAATAAGGTATATACTTGGAAAGGAAAATGGGGTCCAACCTACGTGTGTGACCCTGGGGAAACTTCTTAACTTTAACTGTTCTAGGCCTGTTCCTCATCTGTAAAGTAAGGGGATTGCATAATATGATCAATATGGTCGTGTCCAGCTACGGAATTCTAGGAATCTAGGAAGAGGAAGACAGCACTCAATGACCCAACTTTGGTTGGGAAAGTTCCAAGTTAGGAGCTAAGAGTTTCGTTTTGTTTTTCTGAAAATAAAAATGGGCTCAGAATTCCTTAACTTGGCCTATGACTAACACTCTGTCAATATCCTTAAACAGAATAACAGTACATAAGCCAACAAGAAAATGAAGTTCTCAAAAGAGCAGAAGCATAAACCAAAACTCATCGCACCCAGATGTTCATTCCGTACCTCAGTGTGTTCCATCAGGTTAGAGCCGTAGAGCCTGGCTGTCATGGCCACTCTAGCCAAGTAGCGAAGGATGGAGTTTATGTCCGTGAAGACCACATTTCTAGAACAGAAGCATGAGGCAAAATATTACTGGCTCTAGCAAATTAGTGAGACTCGTGAGACTTATGAAGAAATATAAAGATAGAAATCTCCTATTTACCATGTATTTTCTACTACAGCCAAAAAAAAAAAAAAGTGATTTGTCCTTTACTGTTTCTATCAAATTCCAATTTGTTCCAAAATGTTCAGCTAAATCCAACAACTGACTCCAGAATAGACTATCTATATGATGCATCCTCCTCCTATTTGTTTCTATATGTCTACTCAGTGGTGCAAATATGAAAATATAATTGGAGTATTGAGAATAGCTGAAATATAAAGATAGAAATCTCCTATTTACCATGTGTTTTCTACTGCAGCCCAAAAAAATGTGATTTGTCCTTTACTGTTTCTATCAAATGCCAATTTGTTCTGCAAAGTTCAGCTAAATCCAACAACTGACTCCAGAGTAGACTCTCTATATGATGCATCCTCCTCCTATTAGTTTCTATATGTCTATTCAGTGGTGCAAATATGAAAATATAATTGGAATATTGAGAATAACTCGTTTAAAATAAATCAAAGCAACAAAGCCAAGGATATACTCTCAGAGAGAGAAGCTAGTTTTATCAACTTCAAGGAAAAGATAGAAGATCAAACCCCATCAAAAT